GGAGAGAGAGAGAGAAAAGGCGTGAAAATATAACGACGTATAAGCAATGGAGGCTAAGGTAGGAAACGAGTAAATATCGGTGGATGACGAATTTTTTTTGGCGCAGACGATTAAGAAAAGAGGAATTAGAAGCGGTACGATAGAATTATTACCGAGAGCGTAGTTCGAAATCCAAAGAGGCACGAAACGTCGCGATAAACGGGACGGAAAAATTTTTGACAGCAGCTTTCTGACATAGCCAAGCATGCCATAAATTGTAATTGTTTAACTATCCGGTAGCTGAAACGTGCGGCGAATCATATAACATAACGTCTTTTCCTTATCTCCGCGTTTTTTTCAAATTATCTCTATAGTTGATCGTCGTAAAAATAAACTGTTTACGGGCGGCATTGTCGTCGGCGAATATAGAAAATTGCGTGGAACGGAGGCAGAGAGGGAAGGAGGAGAGGAGGAAAATCGACGAGAACGAAAAGAAGAGAAGAGAAGAGAAGAGAAGAGAAGAAGAAAACGAAAAGAGGCACGGTAACCGTCGAAAGGCAACGAATTAGAAAAAATGCGAAGAAATAAGAGAGATGCGAAACGGGAAACGAAACGAAACGAAACGAATAGCCGCCTCGACGCGAACCGTCGCGTTCCGTTGCGTAACAGTGCGATTACAGGGCCGAAATATCGTCTAAATAGATGAAAATTGAATTTTCAAAAGCAAGCATCGATCGTGATTCGTCGGCGTTCGGTAGATACGGTGTCGGGGATAGGCGGGCTGGTCGAAAGAAGCGAGACAGATGTAGACGATGGGACGAAGGAGGCGCGGTAAAACGCGATTGGTGAAATGCGAAAGGCGAAAGGGAAAAGGGGAGAGGAAGAGAGGCGACGCCTAGGCTGGTACACGCGTTGCCCCGAATAAGAGGAAGCGAGCACAAACGGGTACGAGACGGCGTGCGAAGCGGGATGACGTTGTTTGCGCTTGTGACGTCACTCGCAATTGCAGAGATAGCAACGATAGACTCGAGGATGCAGCGGCGTGCGTCACGTGGACCCGAATCCGGGTCTCGGAGGCCGGGATTCCGGAGATACGAGATTCGAGAGAGGCGGCCGTGGGGGAATATGTGCGCGGGAGGGAAATGCTCGAATTGGAAACGAAACTCTTTCGAACGCGACGATATCGTGACGATTTCAATTTAGGACGAAGTCTCGCGTTCGTGAGACGTTTCGATCAAACCGTTGATGAGCTCGATTTAGGCGATATCCAACTATGGAACAAACTTGGAAATGGGAGGAAACGAGAGACGAGACGAGACGAGACGAGAGCAAGGACGGGAGCATCGTCGACCGATCCGCGTTTCTGCAACTTTTCCGGTCAGTCGGTGGTGGACGGTCGGTCGGTCGCGTGGACGGGCAAATTGTCTCGAAACGTCTCGGCCAGTTTCCGGCGTTTCCTCGCCAGTTTACGATTCCTCACCGACGTCGAATCATGACGCGTACACGCTCGTTCACCGACCATGCGAGAACGAGCCTCGCATTCCGTTCTAGTTGCGACATCGACGCATAGCGTAACCCCAAATCGATCGCATTTTGCGAAAACGTCCCAACGATCTCTCTCTCTCTCTCTCTCTCTCTCTCTCCTCCGATCCTCGCCTCTGACTCTCCCTACCTTTTCTCAACAGATTCGAAATCAATCGCGAGATAAGATCGGACCGAATAAATAAATAAATAAATATATATACACGCACACGTGTATAGGAACGGTGGACAAATTGATCGGGCGAGGAAAGTTGGAGAGAGAGAGAGAGAGAGAGCAGGACGAGGCGCGTGAAGAAGATTTCGGATCGAAGATTTTTGGGGGATCGAATCTCGCACGAATGGTGGCACGGGCGGGGAGGGAGAAGTGCGCTCGGTCGTAGAGGATCATCGGTCGGCGAGGTTGTGCTCGGGACGGTGAGGCGGTGCTTGGAAGAGGCGGCGGCGGCGGTGGCTAACTGCTGCTGCTGCTGCGGGGAGGGACGACGCTCGTCGAAGACGATGCTCGGGAGGATCGGAAGAGAGGAGGTGTTCTCCGGCAATGGCTGATCGCGGCCGGCGCTATGCTCGCGGCGTATAAGAACGCGCGAAGACGTGCGCTCGCCGCGCTTTACGCGATTCCGAATTCGTGGGAGCAGAAAGTGTCGACTATCGACTATCGGCCGCGGAACAACGCCGTTCTTCCTTCTGATCATCCGTCTCTCGTCCCGGGCGGGAGAGAACCGACGCTTACTTTTCCTTCCTCCATTTCTCCTCTTTCTTTTTTCTCCCAATTGCTCGCGATTTGAGATGCTCCTCGACCCGGGTCGGCGGAGGTTGGTGGTGGTGGTCGGCGGACGGTCGCAGACGGGGAGGCAGACGAGGTGAGGCGGAAGCGAGGACTTTTTTGGCGGGCGGGGAAAAAAAGGAAGGAAGAAACGATTCCGAGTTTTTGGATTTCGAGGAGAGAGAGAGAGAGAGAGAGAGAGAGGGGGAGAGAGTAACACGTAACGAGCGGCCGGTGATGGCCTCGATGACGCGTGGCTCGGAGGACGCGTAGCGGCGGTCATGCCGCGGGATTCGAGGCGATATCATCCTCGTCGTCGTCGCCGTCGCCGTCGTCGTCGCTTAACCAACGTCCAATCACGGAGGATCGTGGTCGGCGGGGAACGAGGTCGTGGTGGTTGGTGGTAAGAAAAGCGGAAACATGAGCTCGATCGACTTCGACGAGGTGTTGGTGCACGTGGGCGAGAAGGGCAAATATCAGAATATCATGTACTATCTCCTCTGCATATCGGCCACGCTTCCCGCCGCTTTTCTGGCCTTCTCCCAAGTGAGTCCTGCGCTCGATCCTGCGTTAAGGGCACGTATACACGCACGCACACACACACACACACACACATACACATATAGGCCGTTCTTCCCTTCTCTCCGTTTTCTAGGGAGCTTTTCGAGGTGACGTTTAAACGTTTGATTGGCAGGTGTTCGTGAGCGCGTCCCCGGAGCATTGGTGCAGGATACCCGAGCTCGAGAATTTGACGGATCTGATGACGTTGGAGGAGCGGAAGGCGTTGTCGTTGCCCTACGTGGAGAAGTCGGACGGCAAGGTGAAGAGGTACGAGAAGTGCAAGATGTACGACGTGAATTACACGGCGATCGTCGAGTCGTGGCTGGGGAACGCGAGCAGGGAGGAGGGCGAGGACGAGGCGAGGTTGCCACCCCCACCGGTCGCCGACCCGGATTGGCCGGTGACCAAGTGTCGACACGGGTGGATCTACGACAACCGGGACTACGACAGCACCCTGGTCACCGAGGTAAACTCGACTTTCGCTCTTTTTTTCCTCTTCCTTCTTCTTCTTCGTCGAGCTCGAGATCGGGAACGAGAAGGGGAGGACGAAGAGGGAGAGAGAGACGACAGAGGCGGTTATGTATACGGTTACGTTGCACAGGCCGTCGTTTACATAATTCCGCTAAACGGCCGTTAATCGGTCTCTCGGAGTGGAATTTCGCTCGAACTCGCCAACTTTGCAGAGTGTCGCGTTTCACGGGACGATTCGCCTTGGCCTTTGCCACCGTGTCGTCCTCCTCCCGATGGATTCGCTCCAGTTAAACTCGGTCCCGTTCGTGGAACACCGACCAACCTCCTCCGGATATAATTCCCTTTTCCACGAAATTCCCTCCAGAGAGAGAGAGAGAGAGAGGAGGAATCGACCACGAATCGATCCACGAGTATTCCGCGAATTCCGCCCGGATATATTCGATATACTGCAGATTCGAGCGGAAGTCCGCGCGACACTGTCGCCACGCTCGAAGCGGAGAGAGATAAGACGAAAAGAAGGAGAGAGAGAGAGAGAGAGAGAGAGGGCTCGTCACGCGGCTCGCGAGCGATCCATTAACGCGACGTTATTAAATTGTCGCAATTAGACAACCTCTCGTTGGTTGACGCGGCGTTAACGAGATCGTAACGCACGCGGGGTCGAGGATCTAGGTGCGAGGTTCTCTCCGTTTTATCGAAAAGCCTCTCGAATTACTCGCCGAGCGGCTGCCGAGGTGGAGGCATCACGATCGATCGATCGATCGATCCCTCCAGGTGATAACCGGATGATCGAGAAGGAGCGGGCGATAGCTCGCGATGCTCTCCGGTGACATCGCCAATTGCCGACCAATTTACCTACCCCCGCATCCGGTCATGCGATCTGTCGCGTCAAATGCCTCGTACAAACTGCCAGCACCGCTTCTGTCGAGGGTATCGACGGAGAAACGACGAGAGGGAGAGGTAGATAGATGGAGAGAGGGAGGAGCGAGGAGAGAGGAGAGAGAGAGGGGTTTGGCGTCCGCGTTTTTCGTCTCGTGACGTAAACAACGATCGAAACGATCGGATTCGGCCGCGTCCACTCGTCTTCCGCGTCACTTCCGGCCGAGTTATAGTCTCCGTTTATCGAGGCACAAACTCGATGGATGGCGCTTCCCGAATCGAGGAAGGAATCCTCCTCCTCCTCCTCCCTTTCTCTCCCCCTTTTAGCGGCCCTTTATTCGACTGCCCCTCCTCCTCCTGCTGTTTCGTTGGATCGTGGTCGGTTCGACGACTCTGCGCGATATGAACGCGGAGGGTGTGCGTATTTACGTGTGCGGCCCGGATTTACGCAGACGTATGACGCACAACAGAGCGATCGAGGCAAATCCTGTCCTTCCGTTCCGCAACTTCGCATCCCTTTTCGCCGCATCCTCGCCTCGTCTCGCTCGCTCGCACGCACGCACGCACGCACGCACGCTCGCTCGCTCGTCTCCTCCTCTTCCTCCCTTGCCGTTGCTCCTCCTGGTCGTGAAGAGGAGAACGAAGAGAATGGAGAAAATGAATGGCGAGTCGATGACCGAAAATTGAACGGCCAATTCCCTTCTCGGCGTTCGATCGGCGGGCGTGGACGCGGCATTCGCGAGTTGGAACTCGAGCCGGATTTCCGCCGATCATTTCCCCGCGTTGGAATCGCGAAACGGGCGCGAAGGGCAAAAGAGGAGGAAAAACAGAAGCGGCGAGAAGCGTGGAGACGCGGTCATATCAATGGATCGTTTTCGAAGTGTGTCAGGGTGATAAAATGTGTGGTGCGTGCGTGCGCGCGCGCGCGTCCTACGGGCGCGTGCACTGCCCTTGACAATAACTCGACGTTGCAAGCGATCGTAGCGCGCACGCGAGACCGCTCCCGCGTATTTCCATCCAATTTACCTTGTGCGTTTCACGCGGACATCAAAAGTCCGTAAGTGGCAATTTGCTCGAATCAAAGTTCGCGTTAAACGGGTTGGAGAGAGAGCGGGATTTATTTGCCGACGTTTCGACGATCGATCGAGGTTCGACGATGATTTCGTTTGCCAAACGTTATTCTGTTTACACGTCGCCTCGTTTCGCTTTGCCGCTGTCCATCCAACGCCCACGCTCACGTCTAAACGTAGCTATGCATAGTTTTGTTTACACAAACCAAACGTGCAACCGACTCGAGAAAGTTCTCGACGCTTCTGTTCTCTCTCTCTCTCTCTCTCTCTCTCTCTCTCTCTCCCTCGTTTCCAATTCTCGAACAAGGACGCGAATTCGGCTGACGCGTGTTCTGACGCGTGTTACGCGGTGGGAATATCGTTGCGCGTCCAAACGTAACGCAATCGCGTTGTAAGCAAGCAATCGTACGTGAGCGCAATCTTGGTTCGTTGAGAAAATCGAGGAGAAGGGGGCGCTACTCGACTTTGCCACTCTCCCCCCTCCCCTCCATCCTTCCATCCATCCATCCATCCATCGATCCAAGATCCGCTCTCTCTCTCTTACGCTCGTCGATTCGCTTCGTTGCTCGCGATCGATAAATTGGTATGAGGGAGAGATAAGCGCGAGATAAGAATCAGGAGCAACGACATCGAGTCGCGACAAAAGTCTTGACCGATTTTGGCGTGAGATCTTCGAATAGTATCGCGCGCGAGGATAGGATAGGATAGGAGAGCAGAGGAGAGGAGAGAAGAGGAGAGGAGAGGAGAGAAGTTGGGCGAGGGGCGTAGCGTTTTAATCGCCGACATGCATCCACATAGCTAGACTTGGTATGCGACAACAGCTGGTGGCCTTCCACCTCTACGACCTTCTTCTACGTCGGCAGCCTGTTTGGGAACGTGGTGTTTGGCTGGATCGCGGACAAATGGGGCAGAAGGACGGCCTTCTTCGCTATACTGTTCCTCGAGGTCATATTCTCGATCGCCACCAGCTTCAGTCCCAACTACGTCATCTACACAGCGCTCAGGACCGTGAACGGCCTCTCTTTTCCAGCCATCTATCAAATACCTTTTATACTAGGTACGGAGAGAAAGAAAAAGAAAAA